TTTATGGGCGACTCTCTTCCAAAGCCGCGAGCAAGCAGACGTAAGGCCTGCGAGGGCTGAAGTCTCAGCACACTGTGACACCAGCTGTGCTACTGCTGTCTGCGTGCGAGGATTACATTGTCGTCTCATGTTCCGTGCTGGCAAAAGCTGAGCGCGTGACAGAGATGGTGACAGTGGATTTAACGTCTGGGTGGCAGTTACTCTGAATATCGCTCATACCACACATATCAAGCGAGATGGCATACTAGTGGTTGTGGCTGGACTCCGTCTGAGCAGTCAGCTGCCGTTATGTTACCGTTCTTTCTGCATCTTGCACGCTGTCACACAGCACGTCTCACTGCAGCACTCCCTCCTACAAAACAATATTCCTTCCAAAAGTAGGTTTTAGTTAATTCACTCCGTGTGGCACGTGGATCTGTCTCCCCTCCTTGCCAAAGGACGTGATTCCACCTTTACAGACCACCTTTCACAGGCGAGACTCGGTCCGGATGTGAAACGGACTGTTCCCGAGCAGAGGCTGCGTCTCACCGATGGCAGAGCTCTTTCAGAAGAGCTCTGACAAGGACTTGGGAGACGACCTCCAAGCCAGGGCAGCACGCGAGGATACGCTTTGGCTCCTTGCAGCTGCGGTTCACAAATCAGCCGACTATCTGAAACCACCACCCACGTCACTGTAAGTTAGTATGTCAGCCTGCAAATTACAGCAGCTGAGGAGCCAGCATACATTTGCTCCTGCCGTCTCTCCTCCGTGGTGGCCATTTCTGGCAGAGAGGTAGCGTGGACAGCTGGAGGTGGTAGCTTCTGAAACTACTCTAGCGTGCATTGCCAGGGCTTCTCATCTGCGCACGGTGAGAACGCCGGCACAAGTCGTTGCGTGGCTTTACGACCTTACCCATTCACGAGGTGGCAAAATCCGGAGACACGATCCTGGCACAGCACAGCTCACCCAAGGAACCTCGCGTAGGTTCCTGCATTAGCGGGGAGTACAAAGGCTGCTCCTTCCTTCTCTCTCTTCAGTTGCTGCCAACAGCTTCACTGTTTCTAAAACCAGCTGATGGTAAGAAGTCCTACGCTGCTAACACCAGTTCCCACACATTGGGGTCCTAAAGCACAGCAGATTGCCCTGCATTTTTGTAAACTTGTCTCGCATTAATTTTTAAAGACCACACAGCTCAGACACTTTCCGAAGGCCACTGGCACCTGCGTATGACTCGAGCCTGAGAGCTGGAATGAGGTGCTGTCCGCCTGCCTGCAGAATTTGCCATCGCTCTCCCGTCTTTGGCAGCGGCGATCTATACGCACGCAGCCCAGCGCAGAGTGGCAGCTCTGTTGTTTACTTCCTTGCCACTCCCTGAAGGTACAACAGCAGCTTTTACTGGAGTATGACTCGGCACTTGAGGTCTAAACCTCATTATGCCGAAATCTGAGTAAGTTTTATTTTTAGATGAAGGTGTTCCTTTTTGCAGACTCCCTTTCCATTGTCAGAATGAAGCTGATTATTGCTTGCAATTATTTCTGTTCTATCTGTGTGACACACACCATGACAGGTAGCAGCAAACACTCATCTGCAAACTTTTTATAATTCAAACACTAGAGGACACCAGTCTGCAGATCCAGCGGTAAAGCAACCCAGTGGATTATGTAGTGAGCGCAGCAGCCGCTGAGAAGGATGCAGGGAGATCAGACACCATCATTTCTGTGCCGTGTCCCTCCCATCAGCGTGGCCACTGGGTTTGGGATTTTTTTTGTTGATATCTTTTTCAGCTGAATCTCTGTTTAGCCTTTCTTTTTTTGACTGGAGAGGCAAATGCTGTTCCTTAATCCTCCGTCTAAACCTTTGGTGGTAGCTATTAAGTGGCGTTATTTATAGCCCAGGCAAGACTGAATGGCTTATAATAATGGTGACTCAGGCCTATAAATCTTTATAATTATTGCCAGAACTATTGATGCCATGTTGTGTTGCGATGCTTATACAAATGCGCTGAGAATCTTTAATGGTTACTCATTAGCCTTCTTGTCTTTCCTCTTTACTGCCCAACTCCACTGCAATGAACACTTTGTATACAAAACCGTGCGAGAATTTCTGATCTAGATTCGTTTCCCCTCACTTCCTTCACATAAGCCCGCGGGCCGTGGCCGGTTCCGGGGCGGGCCCGCCGACGGGAGCTGCAGGGGCAGAGAGCCAGGAGCCACGCGGCGCTCCGCACACCCCGGGGCTGTCTGATGCCTCACGGCCAAGGCTGCTCGAGTACTGCTTTACAGGAAAGGGGGATGCCTGCTGCAGATCTGAAATACCGTCGCAGCAAAGCCATCCACATCCTCCCCGTGTCTTGCAGATTTGTATCACTACATGGGCTGCCAGCTGCATAACCACGATGAATCTCGCTAGTGCGCTAACTTTGCAGCAGTTACCTCAGCAGAAGCAGCTTACCAAATCTGAATGCTGAGGGGAGAAAAAAATCACACTCTTGGTTTTCTGGTATTTTTGTTCTTCATTTGCAGTGGATTTGTATCAATTAGGCATTCTCTCCAGAGACAATTTGGGGCCCTTGGCTAATAGGTGTCTTTGCTTGTATAGAGAGAGCCATGGTGACAAGTGGCCGAGTCGTGAAAGTTCAAGATGTCAAAATAGGAAGGAGCTTACAGATTTCAATAGAAAGACTGAAATGCTTTCAAGGACCAGAGATCCAAAGGTAGAATTTCAGCATGGCTTACATGGGAATGGGCTTTGGCGAGACTTTCAGTTCCTGGATGAATTTCACCTGATGGCACAGAAGACAACCGAGTCAAGGGGCAGGAAAGAATAGTTCTGGCTGAGGACAGTCTTTCTGGTCCCAGAAAGCAGAGTAGGTGCACAACAGATTGTGGCAGTGGCTACTCCTCTCTATGCTAAGGCAATGTTTCTTTTGGCCAAACGAGCTGTTTCCCCTCCAGCCTGATAGCTGGTGGCCCTCCGCACAGGCTCGGGTTGGCAATGGCATGTGTATATGCCTGGCTGTTAAAAACATGGCCTTAGAACATTTTTGGCTTTGGGGGCTAAGGGGTGGTCATCTGCTGTAGCGAAGGGGACAGGCAGTGCCTGGGAACGGGACTGGGATTCCCTGGTGTCTTCAGAAATCCGAGAAGCCCTTCAGGCAGCCGGTAAAGATGTATTGCTCATACATCCTCAGGATTAAGTGATTTAAGTAGATTTTCGGTGCTCATGAAATTTTCTGTGGGGGAGATTTTGTCTTCCCCTATAGCAAGAAGGAATTCTCCTACTCCTGTTTTCTTGGGGCTTGTTGTAGTTTGTGGGGTTTGGTCTCCTGTATGACAGAGCCTAGGATGACTCCTCAGCACAGAGTTGCCTGAAAGGTGCAAGATAAAAGTGCGTAAGATCTTGCATGGATTGAACAGTGACTGTGTATCATCTGTCATGATGCAAGAACAAAGGAACACCAAATTACACTGTCTGCTGGTAGTCTCTACGTAAGCGAGTCCTTTTTCATACAGTGTGTATTTAGATGAAGAACTCATTGCCATGGGATGCTGTGAATACCAGGATAGAGAGGAAGAAAACCCTGTGGGTTAGGGCTACTAAACAGAAAGATGCTCAGAGTCCTGTGCCCTCTCTCGGACTGAACAGTGACTAGTCTCACCTGGGCGTCCGTTAGGGGCCGTTGCCAGAGACAGCTCCTTGGGTCAGATGGTCGTCTGAACTGATGCCATCTTTCTGTGGTTCTTCTGTCTTAAGTTAGGAGGTGTGGGTAGGGGAGAGGATCTGCAGCACGTACAGACTACCTGGCCTGAGCAGGAGGTCTAGAAAATGAGCAAACCACAATGCATGGAACACATCTTTTATTCAATAAGCAAGCAAGCACAGAAGTATAATGTGTAGTGCTTAATATTCATACAGTACTAAAAATATAAAAATAGAAATAAAATTTCACTGAAAGCATTTTCACTCACAAATATACAAGGAAAAGTGCTGTCAAGCCACATCATGCTACACCACTTGCCAGTTGCTGAACTGACAGTTAGTTTCCCAACAGAACTGAAACACTACAAATCTGCTAGTACTTCATCACGGCTTTTGGTGAGCCTGAATATTTGACTAGCAAAAATGGGCCTCCTGCAGCCGAGAACCCAGAAAGCATAGATCTCTTTACCTAACAGAACAATAAAGTCATTCTGGAGAGTTTTATAGTGATAGCAGCCTGCTTCAGGCTGTCTGTCTACCTGTTGTCGAGAATAAAAAAAGGTGACAGAAATAAACTTGAATCCTGATTATAATCCAGACGAGTCATGTCTAAGGATCAGTGAAACGCCACCCTGCACTGATATCTGTGCAATGCTCCCACCTGCTGGCACATGGTTAAACTCCCTTCCCTCGGCGCTGCCGGCAGCTCTGCCCGCTACATCCCCCTGCCCCTCGGCTCTGCCCGGGTCCGGCAGCACAAACCGTGACCAGTGCCAAGTGCCCTTAGCTGTTAGTAGAACCAGAGGATAGCCAGCACCTTATCTCCTCTTGCTGTAGCTAATGGGTGAAATCCACATCTATCCAGCAAAGTGAGATGGGTCAGAGACTCTGATTCCTCAAGAAAGACCTGGCACCAGATGCCTTGCTTTTAAGCCCCGTTTTGAGGGACTGAAGTAGTGTTGGGGGCTTAAAAAGCTTCTGTTTGCTGACCTTCAGCATGGAGCTGAACTTCATCCGTCAGGAAGACAGCTGTGTGCTGTCATCCATGAAAGCGTGGGGGGGTTCTGGGATTAGAGTGACAACCACAGCTACATTTCATAACGAGGCCCATCTTGCAGAGTACGCCAGTGCACAGAATCTTCTACAGATAAGGGTGTGCAGAACCTAACGTGAACCCCACTTTGATCAGTTACTATTTTGGAATGGGATTTATTTATACTTGATATACCTGCTATAAAAATAAATGTGACGATTAACCCCTGAGATCATTCTAGCATACTGTTTTGGCCTGTTACTTGTTTCCCTCTGAAATAATTTTTTATTTGGTTTATGGACGTTTATTTAGGTTCTAGTGAAAAGCTTTTATAAAACACATTAAATAATCAATGTGGGGCTGAAAAGGTGTACATTCTAGTTGCATATATGATACATACCTTATACGTATATAATACATTCCGTAACAGCTGAATATTCTAGTATTGTCTAGGAAGTTCTTGCGTGTAGACAAAGGATTAAAATACTAGCAGAGAAACAGCCGTTTAGGATCAAAGATACTTGTATCTGATACGGTTTCGATTGTTTTTCTTTCTTGTTACACATAATAGCTACAGTAGTTTGTCCAGCAGGTAATAAATGAATGCATAAAGCACTTCTAGCTATATTCGGATATCATCTGCATGCATTTTTTTATAAATAAAAATCAAATGTGAGGTCACATTTTCCCATCTTCTGTTTATAAACTAAATCGAATTTCTCATTCATTGAAACAGTGAAGATGTCTTTCCATAGCCCAACTCGTCCTGAAACACAGAGAAGGAACACAAGTCAGAGAGCGGATGTAACAGGACACCAAGTACCTACAGTCTAATTGTGCAGGGCACCAAGCACAGTCTGTGAGATGCTAATCAGTCTCAGCTTTCAATGAAAGCTCAGTGAGACCTAAGGCTGTTCATTCTCTTACCCAATTCCCCTGCTACAACCCTTGCAAAGCTGTAAAATAAGTACCATACACATCGTCACCTCCACCAGCCAAGTATTATACAGGAAGAATCCAGATTTGGGGGAGAACTTGCTCTAGCCTGAATCAGAAATGAATAGATTTTGGTTTGGGTATTCATTCAAAAGTGGATTTCTGGTTTCAGTGCAAACTATGGCTGCTCCATTATTCCAACAGCTAACAGTAACACTTTGCAAAATCACTGTGCCTTCAGCATACCCCAGTTAGAGAACTATCCAAAAAGTATATGGAATGCAGAGTATTAAACCAATTGTTGAATTCTGATTACTGAAATGTAATATTATCACTACTAATTTATATTATGTTTAAAGGTAAGTTCAACAGATGAATTTATGTTTTTAAATATGGAGATAATTATTTGTTAAATATGAGTGCCAGATTATATCTATAGAAGAGAACAAGTGCCATGCCCCCAGTTTGTGCCATTTTAGTTTTAATTTGTACATGAGAAATAGCAAGCTTTCGGTGGATGCAATATGGACACTGAACACTTCTTCCTTGTATGGAGTCCCTGATCACACTGCTGACCCCACCGGTCAAAGGCTGTGCGCCCCTTAGCCACTGTTTCACTGCAGCCCAAAATGTATTTAGCTCAGAGTCAGCCAGGGTTACTGGTTGGTGAATAAGACGGAGTAACCAGACTGAGAGGCCCAATTCTCTTCTCATTTATATTGGATATAAATAAAGACAAAATCCAGGCTTGTTCAACTGGAATAAATGCAAGGAGAATTGAGACTGTGCTACCAGAGAGTTTTATCGTAACAGCAAGAGCAAAACTACATGCAGGGAGCTTAATTATGCATTTGATGCATAAGAAGAATACCCATTTAATTTAATTACCATTGCTTTTATGCAGCAACTCTATAATTGAGCCCAAAGACAAAACTGCCTGAAACAAACAAATTACATATTAACATGATGGTGTAGAATGTGTGGCAAGGGCTGTTTTATGAAATCAGGATCTTCCTGTAACTCCTGAAGGTATGGTAGAGTTCTGGTTTGTTTTCAGGATCCAAGGATCAAAAGAACCTGAAACTGAAAACGCATCATATATTGCTTTCATGAAATTTCTCCTATATCACAAAAAAAAGTTAAGAAAACACTTGCAATCATAAACATGATACTGATTTCAATTTTGCTCCGGCAACTATAATTGCATGAAGTACGGCGTGAAACATAAAAGCCTGTCTTTCCCTTTCAGTAGCAATAATAGCACATTTTCTTCCTTTGCTTGGAGAAGATAAGCTTTTTACTTCTGAATTTCCCTAACAACATGTATGGACAAATGACAAAATTTATAAAGGACATACGCAGTGGATTATTTGTAACATTTTTTTTTTTTACTATATGAATTGATAGCTTTTCAAAAAGTCACCCACCTGGTTTATGATTTGAATCATGCAACTGTGTAAATTATGATGTGATAAGAGTCAAATATAAGTAACATATCTAATCATTGTTCTGCTTTCACAGCAGCTCAGGGTTATCTTCAGAGTAAAGATCAATGTGCTAAAAGAAAAAAATGAAGAACTAAAATAAAGCAAAATAAAGTAAATGTAACTAATGACAAATCAAAAATATTTGAAACAAACTACAATAAGCTGTCATGTTATTGCCACCATTTTTTTCACAGAAACGAACAGAGAAGGAACAAAGCACTGTTAATGAAGCTGCATTCTGAAGTAACAAAGTATTGTAAAAGCCAGACACAGCGAACAAAAGAAATTCAAAATAAGGACATTTTTAATAAAAAGCACACGGTGAACAAATGACAAAATATTACATCAATTGCCGTAGCTCCCTTCCTTCTCTATTACAAAATGGAGGCTTCATTTTGGAAGATTTATAGATGGTGTAGATAAGAGGCCCTGACCCTTGACTGGCATTTGCAGGCTCCACTACAGAACGACGAACACTAACACCACGTACAGAACAGTGCCTGCAGCAAAAGTGGGCATCACCCAGCTTATCTGGATGGAGACGAACTGGCCAGCAGAGACAGCAGTTGGCCTTTCTGCCTGTGGAAGGTCTCACCAGCAGCTCCGTTTTTATTTTCTCCTGTATTACCACCTCACCTTTCTTTCACAACCACCTTGCTGGCTTTCACTGGTCAAGGAGGGGGGATTTGGGCTGTGCGTATCATGTGGATCTCCTAGGAATCAACCTAGGGAACAAACCTAGGGTTTTCTGTTACTTCATCCAAGTTGACAGAGGAGAACGTGGCTCTGTTGTTCGTAAAATCTTGCGCTGACACAGAACACTTTATCCAAGGCCCTCAGGATGTCTTACCAGACTTATTATTTTGTGATCTCGTCTTCACAGCAGAGAAGTGGGTTGGTAATGTTAGGCAACGTGCCGTGAAATCCTACTGCAGATGAGATGGTCTGCTGTTTTCACGCAAGATACAAGTCGTGTTACATGCTGAATTTTCAGTTTGAGGTCGAAAGGGAAGGGTAGGATGGAAGTTGAAAGCAAGATAACCAAAAGCAGGAAAACACACCATTCAGTGGAGACTGTACCACAAACTACAGGGAATATATTAGGTCTTTCAGTGAAAATATAAACTCCTTTGTCTTCACTGGAATTTTACCTCAAGCCAGCAAACTTGAGATATTTATTTCCAGAACTCATCATTACCATAACGTAAGTGAACTGGGGCAAAAAGAGGTGCCATATCACGGTTATGACAGAGAACTGCCCATAGGAATCTGGTTTCCAGGTCCTACTGTAATAGCTGGAGCGTACAGCCCCTATATAATGTACTAAAAGCCTGTCCATACCAGGTGTGCAAAGCCACAGATAAAAGCAAGGAGGTGTGAGCAACGGCTTCTTTCCAAGTATGACATTCTGAAATGCTTGTGCCACCATACAAACAGGACAAGTTATCCTGGGTCAGTTAACTCTGACGACAGCCTGAGCTGAGTAATGGAAAAGCGGCATCAGGCTCTGCCAAGAAAGACGCAAAGGTAGTACAGAACAGCAGTGAACCCGCTTTCACGGGAAAGCAAACTTGCTCTCAAACAAACCTGACTGAGTGTCGCTAAGATTACAGTTTAACTGGTTAAAGATGAATGTAAAGGTACAACAGACTTCTGTAAGGCATGTGATTTTACTGGGGTTTTTTTAATAAAACTATATAATGTCAACAAAATGCATGATAAATGAATAAACAACTGGCTAAGTCAAAATTAGTAGTCAAGAAGGACTGATGATATTTGGTATTTTTATCAGAGATTTGAAAATAATAATAAAAATTACAGCTGATAAAACCTGCAGATAATAAGAAGGTTGGCTGAGAGAGGTAGTTTGCAAAGGCCTCCTACACAGAAACCTAAGAACAAAGTATGCAGGTCATGCTCCCTGAGTCAGGGACAAGAACCTGCAAATTAGCTCCTCTGAAAAGACTTTGTGGTCTTTGTGGTCATGATAAATGACACATGCTTCACGTATGATGCTGTAGAAAAAAATGCTAATGTGGCCATGGATGGATAAACAAGGTAGACAGGGAAAGTTCCAGCTGAAACCGGATTAAGTGAGTGGATAAAGTGACTTTATGTCTGGATAAGGCATTTGTGAGGCTGACACATGAATTCTTCACCTTGACATTGCGTCTTCATTTTTAAAAAGACCTGTTAATGGCTGTAAAGCAGCCCACAGAAAATAATTTGAGGGACACTTACCGAGATCACTCTTTTATGCTTATCAGAAGGAAGACTGAGAAAGGATTTGACTTCTTGATATTATCAAGGGACAGATGTCTCAGCAGTTTTAAGGGCACTTCAAGCTCCTAGAGAAAGACCTCACCAGAATAAACATCTTGAAGCTAAACACATTCTAAACAGCTGAGGTAGACAACAAAAAGAAAAAGCTCATAAGGAAAGCTACAGCTCCTTGTCATCTGATGCCTTCGAATTAGATGTATCTGCTCTTCTAGAAAATCTGATATACTTAAACACAAGGGCTTAGGTCAGGATAAACTGCATGAAATTGTGTGGGCTTTGACATGCCAAAAGTTAGATAGAGCGGTGCAGTCTTCTCCGCATGAATAGCTCAACCCGTTGAAGTAAGCCAAAGACTTTTTAAGCGAGTGATTTGCATGGTGTTGAATATACACTGTTGATGTTTCCACCATTTATTTCAAAGGAAGCAAACCCCAAAACTGCACCAACAATCAGTTTCCTCCCACCATTTACATAGCAATATTTTGCCAACATCTTAACACATCCTGGAGATGACTAAGCTGTCAGTCGCTTCTTGCCACTTCCCCAATAAGAGTTTTACCGCGGGTTTTAAACATACCCCTGCCAACAGGAAGTGCTTCTGCATTACAGCACTGATCAATGAGTTGATGGCAGTGTTCCACCATGGATTCCAACTGTGCTTTGTCATAAGAAACTCCTAAGAACCTCACCAGTTGCTCAACCATCGTTGCTAGGTCCTGTAAGAGAGTATTTAAAAATAGTTTAGAGTATTTTTCACACAGATTTTTAATGAGTTTAAGTATTTCAAAGTAAGTTATATCCCGAGGAGTGTGAAAAATACGAATGCAGCAGCTGCAGAAACACCACTGTCTTCAAATTCTGCCACCTTCCAATCTGCCGAAAATAAACAGATTCCAAGTAACTAGGGTACAACAGGCTGGCAGAGAACATGGCCACGTAAGCTCACCTCTTCCAACGTTAGAACAGGGAACTGCAAAGTAATGGTGATGCTTCCCACTTCAGATACCACCACACCCTTAACTGATCACTTTGGAATACGAGCGTATTTTGGAGGAATTTAGTTATTCTGATTCTGAATCTCAGTGAAATAAATTACTACTACTGTTAGAACAGCCCTTCCTTCATTGTCAGCTTCTGGGACTGCATTCACGTAGATGGGAAGAATCTAAGTGAGACGGCCCCTGGAATAAACAGTCATTAATTTATATATCCAGAACTCCAGGGTTCCTCGGCATAAGTAAGGCTTCTGGAGTTGCAAGGACCAAATAGCAATGTTCATCAGGAAGCAGAACAACTCTGTGACGCCACCAGCTTTCGGCAGCATCCATCAGTGAGCACAGCTAGGAATGACTCAAAATCATGGGTTTGAAATAATTTCTACTAAGCTTTTTTAATTATTCTGATTGTATTACATCATCCTTTAGCATCCCACTCCATCAGAAGGCTCGATAAAGCTGAAACTATAATTTATTCAGCTTTATTGAGTTCTACCATGATTTTGCCTTTTGGTAGGTTTAGAGACAAGAGCTGGGTTTTTCCTATGTTTTCATTAATTTTCCAGTCAAATAAACATTTTGAAGTATTTTCAGTAATTCTCAGAAATATAGTATTGCAACAGGAAATGGAAACCAATGTTCTATGTAGTATTTCCACCAAATTTCTGATTAAAAACAAAGTGGATTTATTAGCCAGCATACTGTACGGACCCAATAATTACATTCACCTCATGCTACATGATCATCCCTAATTGTTTAAACATTGTTTCACAGAAGACAGTAAGAACAACCGAATAATCAGAATAAATGCCAAATATATAGGACAACACACTGATGATACACTTTTTTCTTGTTGATACAGCACGCACAGCAAGACATTTCTTTTAAATGAATGCCCAGGGCCAAGTGTAGCAAGCAGTGAGCAATTCCGCATCTCTGCCTTTGCTGCGAGTAGTTTAGTGCCTATGGATGCAGGCAGACTCCTGAGCAAATTACCAAGTTTATGAAACTGCTGTTGTCCATACAAGCTATTGAATGCCAGTGTTTTAAAAACGGTATCAGACACTGGGGAGCCCAAACATGGACATAAGAAGCAATTTTTGTACTTTCTGTATTTTAAACACCACAAAGCTAAATGTAAAATATCTTTTTGCTACCACTAACCTACCTTATGCATATCTTCATACTTGAGAAAAAGTACATTGGCATCCATGTGATGTTCCCAAAACTCTTGCACATGTTCAAACCACGAACCATATCCTACTACAAAGACATTATGATTGGCATGAGGAAAATCAACACTTTTGTTATTAATCCCTCTTCAAAAAAAGAAAAAAAGGAGAAAAATAAATTAACTGGAATGGATCACAGCCCCAGGAGAACTGTGTCTGGTTTGACCCATTGCCATGTACAGCAAGGAACTTTATCAAAAAAAGAGGCTTTCTATCAGTTTGGAATATTCAAAAAAACTAACTTGCCATGAAGATAAATATTCATCTGAAAACACCACAATATTTCATGATGGACCTCTTGGAGCTCAGTATTAATAACACCTGACTGTTGAACGGAAATTGAGCCAAAATAAAAATTACACAGATAGCTTTGCAGAAGACAAATTTTCAGTGGTTCCAACCTGTGCGAATTCCTGCAATTAACATATCCCACTGCAGCTTCCTTCACGTCGAAGCTAGATACAGCATTTGCGGAAAGCTCCATAGAGCATCCCTGATTACGGATGAAGAATCGCTAACAACCATTATCCTTTTTAAATTGAACAAGTATTGAGGAAACAGACCTATAAAAATGCTTCAGGGTCATTCCCAAAAACTTAGGATGTACTGACAGAATATTCTATTTATCATTACATCTTTTGCACCCACCAATCTAAGGCCTATTCTCTTCTATTGTCATTTTCTGAACACCTCCACGCAAGTTCTGTAGATATGCCAGAACTAGTTACCGTGTTACCAGTCACCTCAATCACACAACAAATCCAGGCTACCACCAGGCGCCCACGGGGTGCTGAGTGATCCTGACAGCTCAGAGTGGTGTGATGGGGTACTCCCCATGGATCACAAGCTGTGAGCAGGCCCAGCGTGCAGGGCTGCCAACGACAAAAAGCTCACGCCTCCTACCCCTGTGTGCCACCAGCAGCTTGTCTTCAGTCCCCTGGGTCTGCTGTGTGGGGTGTAGGACTTGCAGGGAAGCTGAGGTGCTATGCTGGGACGGCTTGTGCTTCCAGCACTGCTGAGGCACTGGTTACTGGAAGCCTTAACCTTCCCCAAAAAAAAACTTTCCTCCTTTGTTTTTCACTTCTCTGATAAAGTCCACACTTGCATTGATTTCAGTCAATTTATGCGTGTCTAGCAGAGGTTCAGACACTGGTATTTATTACCTAAAGAATGTCTTTTGTTGGAAATATTACCAGAAAGGCAACCCAAAGAGAAATGCATTCTGCGTATTTCTTTGTTACCAGTGGTAAGTTCCCCCAGAGTACTTCAGATAATCAAGGCAGGAGTTAAGCAAATACGATGAGCAGTTTTTCATATTCTTTCCTGATATTTTTTTGGCCAACTTTTATTTTTTCAGCAAAGCAACTATAGAAAAATATTAAACTTTTTGGTTTTACATTTTAAAGGCACATTTTCCCTTTGAAAAAAGATTTGTTTAGTTTTGGTAACTGGAACATTCTCAATGGACAAAGAGGCCAGTTTCATAGGAAAATTATTTTAATCGGATGACTCATTTTCAACTTTTATAAAGGTATTGCAAAAATTTCATTTTTGTTATTCCCATTCCATACACCCCTAAAGAAATTAACACATGAAACTAACACACCAGTCATGCAAAAAGTGTTCCTAGCTGCTCTTCAATGGTACAGGGCAAAAATCCATTAAGATGAAGTTAGCAGAGTTTACCTACGTTTTATGTATGAAAACTCCCTTAAGCTTTAAAGGATAAAGCCAAAGAATTACCACATGCAAGACTAATCCCTACCCAACTGTATGCTTTTTAACAGTACAGCTAACATGCACTGAATTTGTTTCAAGACAGCCAGGTATAAGCAGGGGTAAAAAGCGTGGGATTGTGTCATTTGGGCTCAGTGCTTCTCTCTCTAGCACTACTTTGACTTGTTATGAAGGAGTTTTTGCTGCTGCACTGCTTCCATGTGATGCAAACATTTAGCTAAATGCTAAATTCACTGTATTGCAAAACATTCCTTTTGCACAATTACAGACACAGAACATGCTGTGATGTTTTACTGACTCTGGTAAGTCGTGATACATCAGCTAGCTGCTATAAGATGAAGACATAAACAACTCTTGGGATTCTTGTATTAAAAAGCTTACAGAACCTTCCCCTATCTTAGGGGGCCTTCTAATGTGTCTTTCACATGTCTCCAGCCTAGAGGTTCCTGATCGTGGGCTACAAACATACCATTCTCAGGGAATGCAAACAAAAAAGCTGAAGGTTGGCTGGAATGGAAAAAGAGCATTTACCCACCCTGCACAAACTTGCAGGAGAAAATAGCAAAGGTTTTTAAGGCCTATTAAATAACCTCCACTGGTAGCCTTTTACTTTTTTCTTCCCTGTAGTATTATACAGCTGCTTTAGCATCAGTTCCTCCAAATTCCAGGTTGAAAGAGTTTGCTGCACTGTATCTAGATGAGATCCTCCCGTCAGAGCACAGGTGAATTCACCTGGTGAATTCTTAGTGTCACATTGAACTACAATAGAGAAGATTTTCTAGAGAAATAGAAGGCAGTAAAAAACTTTTCTCTTCTTAGCTAGAAAGTGTGGCAATCCATTGGCAAAAAGCCCAGTTGCAGCCAGAGATGTGAGAACACGGGGTGGGCAGCTGACCAGCTGTTGTAAAGCGGGTTATTGTATTCTCATTCCAGAGGTGTATTCTTTCCGTCAGTAGCAGCCTGCAGCTGCCTTCTTACAGGGGCTCACTTCAGCTTATTGATATACTTTTCACCACTTTTCACAAGGTACCTGGTACCTTGCAAACTGAATTTTAACAGAGTAGACCAGAGCTTGGTCTGAGCTAAGTGAAACACTGCTGAGCCCATGGGGTCAAATATTGTCAGGCAATTATTTACAAAGCATGGCCATACTCTGCATGGACAAACCTAAGTCCATGCAGCACTGTATCTGCAGCAACTTCCTTGCTGTATATGCAAAACAAATGCGCCTTTATCCAGTTCATTCCTGTACTTGCAGAAGGAATGCAGAGATGAAAATAAATGTGTAACAGCGAGTGCAGAGAGAACAGCTCCTTACACTTGTCATTCATAAACCTTCGGCAGAACTCCTGAAACGTTCCTCTGTAGCTCATGGTCCTTAGGGAGCGGTGAAACTGGTAATAAGACACCACCAGGTCTTTGGGGTTGCGAGCCATGTATATTACCTGCAACAGGAGAGGCAACAAAAAAGAAATCATCTTACTCAAAGCTTCGCCCCCCACCCCCCGAATTTCCTAAAACACACAACTGGTTCTGATATAGTTAAACAAACATGATTTCATTTCATTTTTACCTTTGAATTGCCATTATGGAGGTCCGAAGGCAAAAACCGATATGGTAGGTGGCTTTTTATAAGGCGAGGAGATGTCAGCTCCTAAAATAAAGCAGACAGAAACATTTGTTCTTGTGCATTAGCTTTTGGCACATGCTGAGCTGTCCTTAACTGTCATACCTGAGGTCCTTTACTGTACTGAGTCACATTCATAAATTCACTTCTTAAATTAATATGGGTCTGGGACTAGAAACTAGGTCAGGGAGTTACGTCTGTTTTTAAATATCAAAAGTCTGGATAATGTGTTGGGGTTTTTTGTAGTTCTCCCCCCCACCTTCTGTTTTCAAAGTGCTTCCATTCGTAGGACCTTCTCAGGAAGAAAGTGTAATAGTTGACAACTTTTAGTCTCAAACTAACTTTGTTCCCAGTAATGCTCCCACTAAAACTCCTTGAAAAATACTAGGAGCTCTGAAAGCCCTACCCCTAACTTCTTCCCCTCAAAATTTTACTCTTGATTTTATCCTCAGAATTAGGCCCGAACAATCCAAAGGTTCATCAGAGCATGAACATCTTTCAAACAGAGTATTCTTCTGTAATTTGAGACAAAATCATCCTCTGACACAAACCATCTTCCAGTAGTTAAAAACTGCATAGATCGATATTGGATCAAGTTGCTAGCACATAGCACAGGTAACAATCTGTAATCTCAAACTAAACCTCTCGCTATCGCCACTGCTTATTTATGTCAAGGTAGCCCTGAGGTGTCACTGGACTAGGTGTCACACAGACGGAAAGAAAAGCAACCTCTAACCCCTCAATACCCTCAGCCTAAAGCAGGCTGATGCTGCAGGTGTCAGTGACCAGAAGCAGCTTAAAGCTATCCACGCTAGCGTTAGCTAGCTCCATTCAGCAAGCTGAACACCCTAGCTCTTCTAGCATGGAGCCCAGTATTTTGCCTCACCACTCCAAGATAGCGCCTGTATCAGCAGCAGCTGAGCAATGACAAGATCACACTTGCACGCCATGCCACTGGTCTCTGAGGGATTCTTACTACTGTGGAAGTCATTTCATGCAGAACATTCCAAGCTCCTCAAACTATACCCGCAGAGGCTGTAGATCCACAGACCTCGGGGTGTCTAAGGATTTAGATGCATAAACGCAGAGTAGTGGGTCTACAGATCCATAGGTCTCTGTATTTGTAGTTCCTCTTTTGCAAATTCAGGGAAGAGATTAAAGCAAATTTGCCTCATTTGGGCAACATTCTGTTTACAGAAGCAAGGGAGGCCCGGAACTTTTATTCAGGAAACCCACTGCCAAGATATTTAGGACATGGAGAAACATCTCCTAAAGTATTAAACAGAGTGTAATAAAGCTTAATAAAAGGAATTTAAAAATAATCTAATAATACTCTGACACATTCCAGCAAACTGAGCAAGTCCAGTGATGAAAAGGACAAGGACACACAAATGAAGTGATAAATATGGAACCAAGGAAAATGACAGCCAAATGCTGAACGACTTTCTTTGCAATAAATTGTACCTTGATGATGTCCAGACCGGGCTGAGGGTACTCTAGGACTGGAAGTTGTTCATCTATGTTCATTAGTCCAATCTCATCTGGGTCGGCTCCCTGACTCACTAGATACACCACCTCCTGCAGCAAGCCTGTGCCTGCGTAAACCAAACAATGACAGAGAACAGATTGCATTACAGCTCTTCTCTAAACAGCAGCACACGAAGGGAGGCCGAGGCACAGAAACAGCGGTAACTTTTGTCCTCAGCAGTCTGCTGGGAACTAAGTCTGGAACTACTGTTTTAACATCATATGCTCCTCCCTTTGTTTTTATTTTAAACACATGAAGATCTCCTTTCACATAAAATACCTCAGATTTTTCTTTGGCAATAATTTAAATACATTTCTGTCTCCTGATCATTTTACCAGTGAATTGGAAAGCATTTTACACACACAGAATTCTTCCACTGTGAATGTTAGCTAGGCAAACACTACTATTTCCATTTTAGAAATGAAAAGAAAAAAACACAGACCGACAAAGATCATCCAAGCTCACAAAATGCATTAGCAGCTGTACTGGGATACTGCCAGTGTCCCCTGTACTAAATTGTAAGCAATTCTACTGCTCTGCAACAATCTGAGAGTCTATTTATACCTCCGCATTACGGACTGGATAAACCACAGAATGAATGCACCACTGCATAGTGCGTTAGTCATAAGCTTTAGAGGCCCCAGTTATGCATCTCTCTCCAGCCCAAGGACATTTACAAAGCAAGCATTAGATATTATAGCCTTAATGTCTGCGCTTTGGAAAATTAACAGGTATTCCAAATAGAAGTTTGAACAGGGAAACTATTTCCAATGGCTTTACCTTCAGGCAGGTAGGAAACCCTCAAAACGGGCAAAGATTCAGATATCTGGCAGAGGTTTATGAAGAAAAAGGCACGGGCTTTTGGTGAGACGGAGGAACAGAACGAGGAGAGAGCAAAGCGAGCTAGCAGGGAGGGGACCCCGCAGTTTAGCTGACAAGGCACACAGGCATGGGACACCCTGGACACTGCGACAGACTGACCAGCTCTTTAAGAGCTGCGAGCAGTAAGCAAAAGGAGACCAGGATTTATTCTCTCGCTCACATTGCCTGAAGGAGTAAGTAATTCTTCTAGAATTCTTTACAAAGCCTAAGCCTGCCTCAGCATCCCATGTCCTTGGAAAGATGAGCTGCAAACTCTGAGATCACGGCTTTTGTTCCCATTTTAACTTGAAAATAACTTGTAAGTTGCAACTAACTTGTAACCATCACCAGTTAATTCATGGTAACTAGCATGACGATACACACTAAGAGACACTTCTTGTACAAATTCTGTATGTTGTTCCAACACAAAGTGTATTTTTTTTTTTTTTAATCTAAGATAGGAAGAGTTTAGAAAGATGATGTACTTTAGAGGATGGTTAGAGTGAACGCAGTCTGGATACAACGTGAAAGAACAGTCTCCAGGAATTGCTTTGGAGAGTACATACTTTAAGATCCCTCGGTCTCCTGATTGATTGGTGGGTAAATTAAAATGGCTTGGAAAAAAAAGAAATTTTTACATTATCATCACCCACAGAGACAGCTGTCACAGACTTAATACACACTTGCCCTTGAGGCTGTTCACTCTGCATTTTTAAGTCCAAGCATATATTTTAATACATTAAAAGTAACATACATATGACATTTCAGTATCAGTCCTTGTAACTCCGAATGAGCGCAACCCTTGTTCTCATTAAATATTTATTCTGACAGGAAACACCCTGGTTCTCCATAATTTATTTCTGTATTTCCAATTGCACCTGCAAAGAAAAATGCTATTACAGCAACCTTGTTCCATGGAACAAAAAGCAATAACTGTATGGGGATAAACAACACCACCAGGACTAATTTTTCATTACTTTGCTGCTCTGTAGGCAAAACAGAAGCCACCTCCATTTATGCCTCCAAATACAGAAGGGTTGAGGGAGAACCACACTGAAACGTCAGCAGAGCAGCATGTTCCCTGCCAGCTCTCCACAAAGTGCACCAGACAGGTAGGTGGTGAGGGCCAGGGAGCACAGCCCCCACGGCCTTACCTACTTCTGCTCAGACCTGCGGCCACACGCTAGGTTTGGCTTGGTTGCTAGCAGATCCACGGAGCACTGCAGAGACAGGAGATGACCTCCTAATGTAGGAGGCATGGGGAAGAATGGTTCTGATTTGGAAGGAACTGGGTCTCTGGAAGCTCAGAAGTCTTCATCGTCTTCGTCTAAACGCGATTCCACCAGAAACAGTGATTCATTGGAAGAGTAATGCTGGGCACATGGCAGGTACTCAAGGTAGAAAAATCAAAATCTCCATCCAGTACAGGTTCTTTAAAACAGTGCTTTAAATCTGCGAATCTCAGTGCTAATTATTAGCATGCACATACACAAATTACTGTAGTTATATATGTACTGCTCACATATTCCAGCATCCTATTCCAATTCACGCAGCTAACAGTATTTCTGCAGTACCTCTTATACAAAGGGGCGGATTGCAAGCTGTCAGTTTAGACATCTGGCTTCTGGCCAGACAGCAGCTGGAATTTCTCCTCCCTACACCTACAGCAGGACCACTGATCCCCATTTCTCCCACCCATGGATTCTGTGCTAGTTTTCACTTTTGTCACTCGCTATATTAGCCTGATTTTCTTCCACATTAGCACTCAAGTTACTCTGCTTAGGATTTTCAGGGTCCTAATGCAAATGAAAACTAGAGATTTAACTTTTGAGGGAACTGTGATTTTTTTACCTTGATGCCCTTAATCAACTGTCATTTATCCCACACACATTCCCAAGAGCCCTATATAAAACATTACCATCGACCCAATCTCCTGTTTAAAAAAAACCTAAAAAAACACATGCTTCTTTGTTTAAAAAGAAAAAAGCTAAAAGCCTTTATGTGTATAACTAGATATCTATATCCTCCTCACATCTCGATTAAAAACAACTCAAATAGAATTGCAGGTATCAACAGAGCTGAATGTTCCTTTGTCTAGCAACAGGCAAACGGCAGCCCAAACTCCAGACCTAGCTGCTAGGGCAACACTTTCTCGCACCTGGGAACGCCAGCTGGCACCGTACCCGTGCACACGGCGAGTGGCTCAGGCCTAGACTGGGGCTAGCACAGTTTATTACATCTGCCATGGTGGGAGGTGAATGCGAGTCTTCCGCTCTAGCCCCTGATTCCTCATCTGCATACAAAGCACACAGAGACTGGCCATTTGAACCAACTGACTTCAGCTGATGTCTGTGGAGATGTGTGAGAACCACCATTTTATGGGTGAAAGCCAGAGTAAACTGCTGAAACCGAGATTTTCAAAAAGGATTATAAGAATAACCCCTGATAATCCCAGTCTATCACAAAACTTGGCCAGATCTAAATGCCACAGAAACTTTCTTAGTAAAACGGACAATGACACTTGTTGGAGAGAAGAAAAAGATGAAGGAAGCTAAAGAAAGAAAGAACAACAGAAAGGTGCAGAACTTACCTTTATACTCCCTAGATTTCTGGCCTGGCTGCCAACAATGACTTATTGTCACTTGAGGGTTACTCACTTTTTACGTGAAATTACAGGATCATGAGGTAGAAAAGCTAGCATGTATGTATATGAAGCCAAGGTTTTTCTCAGAGAGTGGATCTTGTGCCTCTCTAGTATCTTCTATCATTTTTATCCTTGTGTTGCTGAACACACATGCATGCCTCACTCGGAACATTACAGAAAGAGTGAACAGTCACTGACAAACAGGATTAATCTGTCAGCCTTTGGGCATGAGGCACCAGATGCAACAACATTCCTAAGTACCCGGCAATTCTACCCTTCCTTCTTCCAGCTGCAGCAGACCCACATTTCATCCCGGAGGAAGACAGCTGGCCCTGCTAGCTCCAAGGTCACTGCCAAAACAGATCTGGAATTCATTTATGTTTACCCAGTTCCAGCTACAATGGAGCCAGTCAGCATCTGGGGAACTTCAGTGCACTGGACCTGAGAAGCGCTCTTCCCTGACAAGCTCTTATGTTACATCAACACACCACCTCGGGAGAAAACCCCGTGTTCCAGTTTATCACACAATATCTGGAAAGAGATGGGATGGGAAACAGCACTGATCAGCTACTGGCAGAATTTGCAGGTTTTTAGGAGAGCCTTTTAAATGATCTGTGAACCTGCATTTCCACTCCGCATGAGAGCGTGTACAAAAGCAGCCCCAGTCACTGCCATCTGAAAGCGTGCTAGATGGCTGCATTGCCATTTTCTGTGACGCCTACCAATGCACAGAAATCCGGACTCATTAAGAATCCTGTCACAGCCACAGCAGCCCTGACGGTGAGTAGGAACTCCTCATTTGCACCCTTTTCCACGGCCAATGCTTCAGCAACACAGCCATGGCCATGCTGCCTCTGCTTCTCAGCTAGCGTAACTGCTGCAGCAGCAACCAGACAGCCCAGCAAGGTGGCCAGAACTCTGGAACAGCACAGCTAGCCTTTCTGTTCCTATGCAATAGATGCCTTTTGACACCAAATTTAGACTTTGTAGGACGGAGAAATATTCTTTAGTGCAGCTGTTCTCTGGCTCCTATCACTACTTTCTGGCCACTGGCACACTCCCATGCAGCTACTGAACCTCAAAGATCTGTTCAAAGTGAAGTGGCAGACATAAAAAAATAAAAATTCCCGTGAAATATTGCTTCCCTACATGGTTTCTCATGTAATTTATTTCAACTTACTCCCCTCCATATCAGCTAACATGACAAAAACCTTCAGCTCAGGGATGCAAAGGGCTTTGGTATACTCCCTTTTATGTTTTAAAAGCCAGTAGCTGCAAGTGAAAAAAAAACATAATTACTGAATGTTACTGGAAATTCTGCAGTTAACACTTGTTTTAAATCCAGTCTTATTCAAACTGTTGCCATCAGTTTCAGAAGATCTGGATTCAGTTTCCTCATGCTCCACAGACTCCCTTGGCAGGTCACTATTGAACTTAGGGGCATTTAGACCATATAAAAGGGGCATTAATCTTAGAGGATGAGTATTCGATCCTTTCTGAAAATTGGGCTCTCTAATACATATTTAATTGGGCAGCCAAAAATATTGGCAATATAACATCACAGTTTCAGCCTTTATTCTGAATCCTGAGTCTTCTCTAGGAACAGAAGAATCAGAAAATATGGTATCAAGGTATATACATTATTTTTATTATTAAAACCCTAATTGATAATGAAGATCCCTATTATTAAGCCAGCTGGAATTCCAAGATGTAGGAATCTCATGTAGGACCTTAAGAAGAGATATTTTTAACATTTGGAAATTATTTTCTTCTGATGGAAATATCTATTTTTCCCTGTACTGTTGTAGGGTGAAGATGAATCTGTCATACTTACCTGCAGATATACACTGAAACTGGTGAAAGGGGAATGAGCTTGCAGGCAATTAGACGAACTATGTGGAGAATTGCTTTACAGCACTTACGCGGCCAATCTGACAGCTTTAGCAGCCCTCACTTTTTATGAGCACTGATATCTACTGATGCTATAAAAAAATTATGAGTCAAAATGAGTCCATTGCATTGTATTAGCTGAAAGTTGATCAAGCATTGTAGATCAAATGAAGTGCAACTAACTGGGAGTGCTAGAAGACATACTAACATCAGTATTTCTGTATTTTGTTTCTCCATGTGGTTTCCAAACAAGAGGTGAACATAGGCTAAATTCTGCTTGTCTTTCACTAGACTTACATCAGAGAACACCGACATGGGCCCGTTCGATCCGACCTGTGCTTCACCAGAGGCTGTAAACAGCAAGCTATGAAAACTGTATTCTGTTTAGGACTAAAATGCACTTCAGTAAAAAAGCTGTCACTAGGCTGTTGACACACATGTATTATCAGTAGAATTATTGCTATTATGTATAATACAGTATCCTAAAGCACTGTTTTAATAAACTGGTTACAAAAGTGTTATTTTCAGCTAATGCATTAGTACTATTTTTAAAAAATGGCTTCTCCCTCACATTAGCACGCTACCTACTCAATAGAGGACAGGATGAAAAATGCAGAATCGACCACAATGCATCTCAGGCCAGGCACTGACTGTTGAGCGTCCTCACCTCCATGCAGCAAGGCAGGCGACGCAGTACGATTCTCACCTAACCAACAGCAGCAGCTTGGAGACAACCGCCTCCTGACGCTTTTGAGCATGCTGGATTCTAATGCTGGAGCAACACCAGTAAACAAAACACAGCAGGGCCTGTTCTCTGGGAGGACTCACACGACAGCCAAACCCAGATTCACGCAGATCAGCTTCCCAAAGCAAGGCAGCTTCATCCACAGCTTCCTGGGAGCAGCCCCTGGCTCCAGCCACCTCCCTCACCGTGACGGAGGACACACTGTCTGGGGGAGAGCAAAACTGTCAGGGAACTGCTAGCAAGGAAACATCACGGATGACAGCCTGTCAGAGCCTCTGTCACAGTTACGTTTACTAGTCTAGCCGTGGTGAAGCAGATAACTGGATTGTCTATGTTGCCTAATAGAGACTTTAAGAAAAAAAAACAAAGAAAAATAGCTCAAGAGTCACATACTCCCTAACCATTGCATCTAACCCATGGCTACCCCGATCTGTCCCAGTAGACAGGGGTCCACAAGGCAAAGACCTCTTGTTGAGGACAGCTGGGGCAAAAAGTGTTTCCTGCCTATCCCTCTTAATAAGCCACAACATCCTCACATGCACTGCAGCAAGGACCGGGTAAGTAGTACACTAACAGCCCTAAGAACTGAGTCAGGTCCACAGCTTGCTCAACATCTAGGGATTAAAAACAACAAGATACAGGACTGCCTTTATTTGCCTTTTGATTGATGAGCCATGATTTGTGTCTTCATGCTTGTCTCCACATCCATGATTTCATCATATCTAGGTGACCCAGATTCTGTTACAAGTCCTTCACTGACAGCTGATGCTGGGTGGTAGCTGGTATTTCTTGGCATCACACATTCAAAGGAAAAAGCATTGTACTCTTCTCTTTAAGCTTTAGCTGGGCTGATAAAATACGTCCATGCCCACGGATGCTTATCGCGTCTGCCCCAGATGTCATCACCAATGGAGCAGTTTGTGTGAAGTTACTCCAATTCACTTAAAAATTAAATCGGACAAATTAGCTTAAGGAGTTTCTGGTTTTGGCATCAATTCATCTAGCAAATTTTGCCTGGGACAAACTAGAATGCATTCACACAAAATACTCTGTGGGTGGTTCTTTAAGAGAAATGATGAACAGCAGGCTATACGGGCACCAACACCCTGCACTAGTGCAGATACTTTTAAAAGAGGACATCTACCCATACCCTTAGACGACTTCTCCCTTTCAGTTTCTACTTGCCAACCAAACACGCTCCCATGGTATAAGAGAGCACAACAGCTATCATGCCAAAACAAAAAGAAAAAAATGTATAGTATAACATGTCAGGAACATGAAAGTAACAGATAAGCCTGCTTGCTCCCTTACCAACTACCTGACAGAACGACATCCCTTCTCACACTCACTGACGGTTGGCCAGGTCTATAACCCAGTATGTTCAGTTGTTGTCTTCTTTCCCCGGGCCTCTCCCTCGGATGGACACCCTCATGACCCAATTCAGAGACACCATGCCTTTCATGACAACACCACGGAGCACACAGGATCATGCAGTCGTACCAAAGCGCTGTCAACACGACAGTAATTCACGGAGGAAGGGTACTTTTATTGGCCAATACACGCTACGGGGCAGATTGTCTCAAACCTCTGAAAACTGTCTGGCAAACTCTGGCCGTGTAAACTAACGATGGTAGCCCCTCACAGTGATGGGCAAAAGGTGTATGAACCATTTTTCAAATCTCACCTCCTCTCTGCAGCATATGTAAGAAGGTACATCCTCTCACCCCAATCTTACCTCATTCGTATCCTGCCCTCCTGCTTCCTCTGGCAGTCCCATTCTCCCAACCTTTTAGAACCTATAACAAAAGCATGCCTAAACTGCATCATGCATTACCCAGCAGCAGCTCACTTCATCTTCAACAGAAAGTCCCCCCCCACTGTGTCTAATTTCCCTTCATTTCAATACAGGTGACACAACAGTGTACCAAAGACAACAATGCAGAAAAGAACTTTGCTGTCATGACAAGTTTTTTAAACTCACCCTCAAGGACTTCATTATGTTGAAGAGAAGTGCACAGTTACCCTCAGTGCCACTGATTTCCAGGACAACTGTATCACTTTCTGTGTTCTCTTTTAGAGTCTTAACACAGTCTATGGCTAAATGCAGAGCCTCACAGTGAGCTCTGTTGACTGGAATAGGATCAGAAGGCAGGAGACAACAGGGAACAGGTATTAGAAACCTGTGCTGAGGTAATTGGCGTACCCTTTGCTGTGAACGTGTTCCTCTCCCTATATGGTAAGCTTACCTCAGAGGATGTCTGTCACTACTCAAAATGCAGTTCCATGCCTCAGTTTCAATCCCTTCCACAAAAATTGTTAGGCAAAACCTGCCTACACATTCATGTGCATTTGCATATATTGGGTGGTTAAATTGCAAAAAGGCAGCACACCAACATTATCATGTGAAACCACTGCAGATAAGAGTTATACAGCAAAAAAAAGCAGCACATTTTTGTTTCAGAATTTCAAGAAGCGTTGTTTACCCTCTATAGGTGAAGCTATGCAGCCTGTTTAGCCAGCCATTAGTTGTCTAAGGTCAGAGAGGAAAAGCATTTTGTCTCAAACAGCCCCTGGTTCCAGCCACCTCCCTCACCGTGACGGAGGACACACTGTCTGGGGGAGAGCAAAACTGTCAGGGAACTGCTAGCAAGGAAACATCACGGATGACAGCCTGTCAGAGCCTCTGTCACAGTTACGTTTACTAGTCTAGCCGTGGTGAAGCAGATAACTGGATTGTCTATGTTGCCTAATAGAGACTTTAAGAAAAAAAAACAAAGAAAAATAGCTCAAGAGTCACATACTCCCTAACCATTGCATCTAACCCATGGCTACCCCGATCTGTCCCAGT